TAACCAACCTACCACAACTTCCACCACTACCCACGCTCCTCCTCCTCCACCTGTTTTCTTTATTTATTTATTAGTAAAAAAGAAATTGATGATAATTTTCTTCATCAGTTATTCAATTCTTAACAATTTAATCGTTTGATTCGTTTTGAAAAATAAGTCACAAGATTTGATACTGTAAACCACACTTGAAATTTGACAGGTTGACAGTAATTACGTCAAATGTACAAAAAGAAAAACAATTAAACCGGTTAAAACTTCCAAAAAAAATTGTTGTCTGACGTATATCGTGCATATTATGAACAAAAAAGTTTGTTTAAATGTATGTAATTAAGGTTAAAACGTGTTATGCATGTCAATTGATATGCTTGAATGTTATTACGAGTTCACCTGACTTGGTAAACTAGAGCGATTACAAATGATCCAGTGACACGATAGGCTACTCAAATCCAAGCGTCCCAAGGCCCTACTAAGTAGAGGAAGGAGCCTTGATATGGCATAGAAAGTGTATTCTACATGCATCCAGAAATCGAAGTTGACAAGCACATAAATCGAATTTATTTATACATCGTAGAAACGTCCTTGGGAGAGCCACAAAAAATTGCTTACTAAACTAATACATCAACCAATAAAAGTCAAGGATGTAATGTAATCTCAGGGTCAACCAATCACCCCAAAATCCAAAATTAGGACCTTTATGAAGTGAGTTCTGGAGATCTAACATCCCCAACATAACGACACCGTTTCCATATCATTGTTTACAAAATCTCCTAAAACAATGACAAGATCATCTGATCACCGATATGTACATATATATCAGAAACATTAGGGTTTCCACTCCAAAACTTAAGTCATTTTTTCATTATAGAATTATGGAGTTTGTTGTTTTAGATCGGAATCATGAATCAATCATTGATAGACCAACATTAGAAACCTGGAATCACTGAACATTCGTCAAGTCCAATTATTGATTAATCATTTCATTCAAAAGAAATTTTTTGAATGAAAATCCTCTCTCCTGATGCGATGAGTAATAATTAGATCGGTCAGAGTGCAAATGACTCATGAATTTTTTCCAGATGTTGGTGAATAATGTAAATCACATCTGGAGAATGGATGTTTTTATTGAATGATATAATAAAATGTGTTCACATAATAATTTATTGATTGATTAATGTTAAATACTATTCACTTCAATCTAAATATATTTGACACTGAGTAAATTATAGTGATAGTGGTGTATTTTTGTTTCATTTCATTTTACTAAAGTGGATAATAAAACAACGCAAAATTAGATAACATAATAATAATAACAGTTATGATAATAATTCGCGAGAATAAGAAATACACAGATATCACTTTCCTATGGTGCTGATAATTCGACAAGCGTTTCATTCGTAAGATAAAATTTTTCATTCCAGTTTTCTTGATGTCCACTGCTTCAATGTCGTGTTGAAAAGTACAGTTGAACGAAATCGGTTAAACGTTAAGTCATAACAATGCTTAGAATGATGGTGGCTAGTTAAAATACATATTTAATCGTATTGTTCAACAAACTAGGTACAATGTTCATGAGTAGTCAATGCATTTAAACAGTCTAGAATTTGTATCTTCACAACTTTATTATTTTCATGATCCGCTGATATCAGCTGGGTAGCAATTTAAAGCCAGTAAGAGAAAGAAAAGTGTTTCGTCCTAATTTTTGATGACTTCTTAAGCTATAACATATTCTTAGATTAAACTCAGTATTCTAACGTGTTAGAGTCAGAATTATTACACCATTAAATAGCTGAGTTAAAGATTCAGCTGCTTAGCTTATCATCTGTAACCGGTTTGTCGTTTCAAGTGAAATTTATTCAGTCTATTGAATCTTACATGTCATTACTGAAGTGCACGTCTCAACAGCTATTAATTTAAACGCTACTACTAACCGATATTCTATAGTAAATCGAAATGTAGTTACCGTTATGCCTTTATAGTCAGTAAGTAGTTAACTGCCTTCGACCAACAGGGTTATATTCTACTGGTCACGGCTTCTCACTAGAATACTGAGAATTTTCTCACGAATCTAGTTCCCAATGAGCAGATTTTTATGACCAGTAGAGTTCAGCCTTGTTAAGTGTAGGCAGTAACTACTGAAGACAATTAGTGAGGTGGCGCAATACCTCGAATTTATTAAAGTTAGATATTAATATCGTCGGATGTCGGCTGGCTCAGCAGCCTATAGATAAGCGTCCGCGCGCGAGACCGAGGGTCTCAGATTCGGTTACCACAGGCGAGCATCTTGGGTACGTACTTCTGATGGGTTCCATATTAGGACTTGACCGCCATCCACTGCTTTCAGGTTGCTAATAGTGGTCTACATTGATCGATTCATGCATTCAATCAAACTCAACAATTTTCACAACTTTACGATAAAATTTATTGCTATTAATCGATCGATCACACACCATTTTCCTATCTTAATTTCTACATATTTCACTTATTCAGTTTGGTTAGAATAAGTCACTAAAGGTTGAATGTCCATCTTGGGAATAACATACTTATATATGAAAGTGTGCATAGATTTCATTATTTGCTGTTAATAAATAGATTATTCAAGTAATTGACCGATTAAATGCATTTAATAAAAACTTTTTTTGTGATTGGTTATTTTTAATATTTGAATTTCATTGTACAAATTTTAATCACAAAATTAAATGAAAATTTAATTGGTCAACAAATCTTAAGCAGTAATTATTTTTACTCAATCAAAATGGAGTAGATTACTCATCTGAAGTAGAAAGTTCTTTTAACAGTACAAACATTCATTTGAACTAAATGACTAAAATGCTTGATAACTAGGAGGAAATGTTACATTTAATTGCATTTTAGTACCGTCATTCAGTCAGTCAGATGCAACGTAGAACTTCGTACGTAAGTACATCAGTTCATGTTGCCATACCACATCAGTACACAGATATAATTCTCAATTCAAATCCAATAGTAGAAGAGGTGGTTAAGGTATTAGAAGTAACCGAAGATGTTAGGATTAGAAGATATTATTCAAGAAGTACAGATTCAGTGATAAATGTTTAGAAAGACAAAACTAGAGGAGTTGAAGAATTCAGAAGATTAGGATTTGAGAGAACACAAAGAATAAATGCACTGGCGCCATTGCGAACGATTTTGAGCCATGTCATTCAGGGTATCGAACCATCGATTATTATCATCTCGCGGACCCCAACCAGGTAGTCGACAATTACCGATATGACTAAGTCCACTTGTCAATGACTTCATGGATTTCTGCCATGTTTTGGTTTGGCCGCCCCTAACTTTCTTCCAGCCTATTCCTACACTACAAAACAAAGCTCCTCGAGGCAGTCGGTGGTTAGGCATACGCAGCACATGACCCAACCACCTCAACTGATGAAGTTTCACCACTTCATCTATTGATCTGCCATTCTTACCTAGCACCCGATTCCTAATAACAGCGTTGCTCACTCGGGTGTCCCACGATATACGAGCAATGCTTCGAAGACACCTATGATCGAAAACCAATAACCTACGAATATCTTCTTCTCTTACTGGCCATGTTTCACAGCCATAAAGTAAGACGGAGCGAACTACTGCGCAGTACACTCGTCCTTTAGTCAGCAAATGGATATCTCGCCTACGCCATAAGTGACGCAGGTTGGCAAAAGCCAATGAAGCCTTCTGTATCCGTGTTGAGATTTCGTCAGTCACTAGGCCATCAGCACTGATGAGACTCCCAAGATAAATTTTAGTACAGTACTATGATACTATTCATATCACTGAAAGATATCTCGATTAAACTGTTGTATTCTGTAAGTAAATTACACGATCAATGTAAATAATTTTACCTTACTAGTCAATTTTTAAAATATAACAAACTAAGAAACCCAACCATGCACACCAATTAGTGCATATTACGTAAGGTGAAACACACATAGTAGTAAACCGGTATATATGCTTTTCCGAATCACATGTTTTTACGGACCACTAAAACTTTTCTTCACACCTGTTTGCTATAAATGGGTGTGTATGTGTGTGTGTGGTGTATTTTGTTGCTTCACTCTGCGTGGGTTTCTTGCCTAATTGTTACTACTATTTACTAATATTATTTGTATGTATGTGTTTTACTAGCTTACTCTAATGCTTAATAAGTAACCATGACCTTTTCCTAAGTTAATTTCTTTATTCATCATTATCTATCTAAATGTAAGATAGAAATGTTTGTTACACTTTGGCTGCAACAATAATATCGCCAAAGAAAAGAAAAAATTACTGAATTACTACTTACTTCCAACTTACATGATTAGGTCAATATTATCATAAATGAATGAATGACCTGGAAAATGCCGGTATAGAGAGACATGTATTTGTGCACAATTGTGTAAACACACACATACACACACACACACGCTATTGTACACACATTGAACTGGATTGCTTCTTTTTAATAAAACAGAAAAAAAATATCAATAACATGGTGTAATTTTTATTTCTTTTGGAAAGCATAACACATCCCCCAATTGTGTGTGTGTATGTGTGTGTTCGGTGCCGCCTACCAGTTCGTCTATGATTGGTTTATACAATTTTCACTAATAACCTTGTAAAAATTTTTAAATGAAAACCGATAGATAGAGTTATGAATTAAAAATCAACTATTGTTGTGTAAAGCAAACATTTTTATATTCATCAAGTGTAAAACAATTGAGAGAAAAAAGATTGAAAATTGAATTAATTTTTTTTATTATTATTAGCAAACAATTCAAATTAATTGTAAATAACAATTGGAACCTATATAATATATTCATTTATCAATAAATTTCTATTAAAAAACAAACAACAAACATTTTTATTTTGAAATATTTTTAAGAATAAATCAAAATTTTTCAAATATTTTGATTCTGCATGATTTAATTAATTAAAACAACAGAATATTATATTGGAAATAATCACAATCTTTGACGTAAAAAAAACAAACAGAATACTTATTTTTCAATACGAAAAATTATCGATCTAAAGGAGAATGAGACGTATGTCAATAATTATTTGGTAAGTTATAATGTATAGATTTATATATATATATATATATATATATATATATATATATATATACGTATTAGTTGTACAGAAAAACACATTATAAATACTTTTTAAAACCATGAATCGATCAATGTTAGATCACCATTATAAACCTGGAGGCACTGGACGGCCACTTCGTCATGGTATGGGACTCATCAGTGACAGTGCGCATCCACGACTCCTGCACACCGCAGGATTTGCACCCAGGACCACTGCACGTACCAAGTGTGTTGTGTCAAAATTACTTTTGAGATCATGTTTTCGTTCATTAGATAGATGAATGTAACAACGAATATTGCATTTCCAATGGCTAGAGTGATTCATAGTTGTCTAGGGGGAATGAAATCTTCAATACCGTGTAGCAATCATCATCTACAAAGGAAAATGAAAAAAAAACGATTGAAAAAAACACTTGATGTAACTAATTTATTGAACATTGAAAATGATAGAAATAATGTTAGCCTTATTATCTTATCAAAGTTTTATATTGAACGAGATATCAGTCATTGTTTCAAATAGATGTTTAGTTTTTTTTTAATGTTATTGATATTATTCAAATATATTACTACTTACCTACTTACGCCTGTTACCCCCAATGGAGCATAGGCCGACCACCAGCAGCATTCTCCAACCAACTCTGTCCTGGGCTTCCTTCTCCAGTTCTGTCCAGTGTTTGTTCATTCCTCTCATCATATCTTTCTCTATTTCTCGGAATAGTGTGTTCTTTGGCCTTCCTCTTTTCCTTTTGCCTTGAGGGTTCCATGAGAGGGCTTGTCTCGTGACGTAGTTAGGTGCTTTTCGTAGTGTGTGTCCTATCCATTTCCACCGCTTCTTCCTGATTTCCTCCTTCACTGGAATCTGGTTTGTTCTCTCCCAAAGTAAGTTGTTGCTGATGGTGTCTGGCCAACGAATCAGAAGTATTTTGCGTAGACAACTGTTAATAAACACTTGTATCTTCTGGATGATGGCTTTGGTAGTTCTCCAAGTTTCCGCTCCATACAGTAGTAGAACTGTCTTGACATTTGTATTGAAAATCCTGATTTTGGTTTTGGTTGAAAGTTGTTTGGAGTTCCACATATTTTTCAGCTGTAGAAATGCAGCCCTTGCTTTGCCAATCCACGCCGCACACTCACATCTGCATCGGATCCACCTTTCTCGTCGATGATACTGCCAAGATAAGTAAAGGTGTTAACATCCTCCAAGGATTCAATTATATTGGTTAGTTTATATTGCTGTAAGGTATTTTAAGTGAAATATTCAAATGAAGACAATATCGCTTTCCCACTTGGTTGACTTAGTTATCTCATATATGCATTTAAACATTTCAGTAATCATTATTCTGTGCTCATGTAATTACTAATATGTCCATTTCTATGATGTGTAATGAATTGATTTAAATAGGGGCTTTTCTGATTGATACTAGTTCCCAATATAAATAATCTTTTCATATTATACCTTGAAAAAAAATGCTAACTTGAGTTGTATAATTCTGTATAATAAATAGGTTAGAAGCCGGGAATTATGAATATCGATCGACGTCCGATTGCTTTTTTTCAAGAATACTGATAGATATTTAATAGAAAATTATTTTTTTAGCTTATATTCAATTTGATTAGACGTACAAATATATGAAAATTAATCCTTCTTACAACCACTAGTTTAAACATTCTAAAAATTGTATACAGAGAGTAATTTGTAGGACTGTACCTTCATAAATATTCAATCGTCAATTTTTTGTTTTTTTTCGTAAACACGATTAAAAAAATGAAACAGTATTATTACATAATATTGATGCTTTCTAACTCATAGTAATTTCTGATTACTGTATTCATCAAAGACACTGAAATGAATAAATGTTTTAGTGCAATAATAGTATGAATTATGAAAACAGATTTTTGAATTAAAATCTGAACAATTGGTTAAGTGACTATGTGATATTTTGGGGCAGAGTTTTGGAGGTTTGTGTGTGTGTTGATTTTTTACACATTTGATGATTTCAAATGATTCCAAACTCTGCCCGAAAATATCGTAACACTGCTCACTAGTGACTAGCTAGCTTCGTGAGGAAATTTTCGGAGTTCTAGTGAGAAGACATTGTGACCAATGTAGTTCAACCCTGTCGGGTGTAGGCAATAACTACCAAAGACAAATAGGTGAGGCCGCGCAAAATCCGTAGATCAATCAGAGTTAGACATGAACACCGTTGGATCCCGGCCCAGTGGTCCGATGGTTAGGCGTTCGCGCACAATACCGAAGATCCCGGGTTCGAATCCTGCCTGGAGCAGGAGTCGTGGATGCGCACGGCCACTAATGAGTCCCAGACCAGGACGAAACGGCCGTCTTTCAGTGCTTTAAGGTTTCTAATGTTGGTCTAACAATCATTGATTGATGATTTCAAATGACTAAATAATAAACGAATACACCCAGTAGAAGAAAGTGAAATTAATTTTTTGTTTTCCAAAAACGGTACTATACCATCAGTGCTTTACGTTAAAAGAAAAAATGTTCTGGTATTCGGTTTTCTTTCTCACAAATATTAGTTATCTGGAAATATATCATAATAAAAAAAATTAAGGAAATAAATCTTTTATGAAAATTGTTGAAAATAGTTTACTTTGTTTTTGCTGCTTTTAAATGAATATTACTATTATTCTTGCTTGAATCGATTATTGTCAGATTATCATTAGAAACACACAAGCATTGAACGGCTGTTTCAGCTTAATATAGGACTCGTCAGTAGTGTGTATCCACACCAACCCTTCTCAGAAGAATCGGATCCAGGTCTTTTATTAACGCGCGAGAACGCTTAACCTCTAGACTATTGAGCTGACATCCGACAATGTTATTGTCTAACTTTGGTCAATCTGCGGATTTTGTGCAAAGTTAGACAATAACACCCTTGGATGTCGGCTCAGTGGTCTAGAAGTTAAGTGTTCTCGCGTGTAGCTAAAGGTCCTGCGTCCGATTCTCGCAAGGGAGAATCGTTGATGTGCGCCACTGAAGGGTCCTTAATAGGAGGAATTGGGCTTCCTTTGTTTGTGTGTTTCTAATGATGGTCTGACAATGATCGATTCAAAATTCCGATTTGAATTAACAATCTCCATAACTCTATAATAAAGAAAATTACTAATAGTTCATGAAGTCCAATCAAAATTACGTACTAAATATAAAAATGGTATTAATCTTATAGAATAAATATTCTTTCTTACAAGATATTGATCATCGGTAATCAGTGCTCTTAATATAAAAAATAATATTCATTCTCTTCAATTCTATGGGGGGCTTCTATTGTGATGAATAAATTTGAGACACAGTACAATTATTATACGCACAATTATATCAGGTATGCGTATCTACGACTCCAGTTATTCACAGGAATGGAGCCCTCTGAGTGATTAAAGTTAGATAAAGTTAGATATCGTCGGATGCCGACTCGATGATTCAGAGATTAAGTGTCCACACACAAGATCGAAGGTTTGAATTCTTCAAGTAGCAGGAGTCATCGATGCGCGCTGCTGATAAGTCCCATAGCAGGATGAAATGGCCGTTCAGTTCTTTCAAGTTTCTATTAGTGGTCTAAGGATGATTCATGATTCATGATTTCAATGTAAAAAGTGTAACATGTTTAGAGATTAAAGGTTATATGATTGGACATCATATTTTTTGATGGAATACTTAAGTGTCTAATATTGATTATTATTTAAAGAACGACTAGAATTCATGTTAAATTCCATTTGTTTTCTTTTCATCATGAATTAATTTTAAATATGTCACTTTAATTAAAGTATTCGTAAGTCGAATGAAACGGAGTTAATTGGTAAAATAGGAAAACCATATCGTAAATCGTTAATTTGCAAAATATCAATCGATTATATCGAACTGGACTGTTCCTGTTGCAAACAACATCAATTCATTGTCTGACATTTCACTGTTCAGGCGTTTCATTCAAATCCCATTGTGTTCCCGCTCTTCTTCCTTTCTCTTGATCTTCCCCCATCTTCTGCTGCCAGACATTACGTTTCTACTCGCATCCTATACTACTTATAAGTAGCGCGCACCACATGAATGTTTCATATTCTCTGTAATTTATACTACGAACTAGTAAATTACTTTTGATTTTTTGTCTCAATATAACTTTATGACTAAGAAGTAGTAAACTGAATGTTGGTGACTTTTATACAAGTCTTAGTTTATCTATGTACATATGTAGTGAACGAGAACACAGGTGGTGCAACCGGATTGTATTTAACGAAAATTACTGAGTTACTCATTAAATTCGGAAAACCATATTGTAAATCGTTCATTTGAAAAATATCAATCCATCATATCGAACTGGACTGTTCCTGTTGCAAAACATCAATCCATTGTCACTATTCATGCGTTTCATACAAATTACATTGTGTTACCACTCTTCTGCCTTTCTTGATCTTCCCCCATCTTTTGTTGCCAGACATTACGTTGACACTCACGTCATATACTACTTATAAGTAGCTCGCACCACACATACATGATGTCTTTATTTAATAAGTACTGAATTATATTTTAAATAAGTTGTATTACTAGTTGAAGTGATTATTCTAAGCCAAATAATCAAGCTATCTAACTCTAATGTGACTTGAGATAGGAAACAAACTAACTGGCTACTTCTCTTAGACAGTATAGAATTGATATAATCCCAACTAATCATAGACTAATGCTTAGATTGATGCATCAACGTTTGCATTAGTGATAAAATCTATAATATTCACATTTCACTGTAAATAGAGATTATTTATAAACCAATGTACTTGATTCTTTTAACTTACCAGGCTTGTTGAATCTTCAGCTGACAAGTTATACATCCCAAATATACCATTGAAACCATTGATCTAAATGTTTTAGTTGTTATTCAACTTTTACTATCTTGATTGGAATTATTCGGTCATGAATCGATCATTGTTAGACCTCCATTAAAAACCTGGGAGGAAGCA